CGTGTGCGTGTACATATATGTGAATAACAAAAATAAAATGATAATAAATGTAATGAAACCTATTGAGGGACGTAAAAATTAATTCAACTTATATCATTGCAAACAATGTTCCTCCCAGTAAATAATCTAGTGCAACAATTATTGCATAAAAGTAATTTAATTTCAGCATATTAATCGCATGCTGACACAGAATTTTCTGATTTCTTACTCGGAGAAGAATTATTGTGTTAACTATAGAATGTGCATGATATTTTGATATTATAAACGTTTATTTATATATTTTAAAGAAATAATTAAAATTTAATATTTTCGACCTTTACAAATGCCAATCTCATGATCTCTAGAACAACTGAAAATCCAAATATTAGTTTCTAATATATATATATATATATATATATATATATATATATTTGTTTATTTAGGCAGCAAACCTTCTTTCATGCACATTTCATTGAATACGACAAGGTGCTTTGATTTAGCTTTTTATACAATTTCTCATACGATCTAATATTTTTTTTTCTTTTCAGATGATAAATTATATAAAAACTGTCCAAAAACTAGCCATTTTCATGGATGAAATATTTTAACGGTTAAATAAGAAATAGTTTTTTGCATGTATGTGTTTATATAAAGTGTTCATTCTTCAAAACACGGTCAAGATATTGTGTCCATGTTCATAGTTAATATTATTAATTATTTCAATTATTGTTAACCTTATTTTTTGCATGTCGATGATGCCGTTATATTTGTGTTGTCAACAGGTATGTTATGAATAGTGCCCGGTAAGTCCCAATGAATATTTAAATGAGATCTAACTGAGCTATGATCAGAAAGGTGTAAGTGAGTCTTCGTATCACACATGTTGTAGTGTGACCTATATATATATATATATATATATATATATATATATATATATATATATATATATATATATGTTGAAAAGTTATTACCCGAATAACATACAAAATAAATATTTTGTTGTATGGTCAAGAAAACGCTGATTTTGGAACATTTGTATATGAATATTTGTAAATTTTACTAATTTTACGTAAATCAACGAGTCAAGAATAAAAATCTTCAATAGAATGGAGAAAGCATTGGACGTCCGTTTCATCATTTTTGGGAACTCGTCAGTAGTACGCATCCGCTATCGAGAATCAATCACTGGCCGTTACGATACAACGCAAGTATCGTACCACTAGGCCATGGGGCCTCACTAACGAAAAGGAGGTGGGTATCTTCTTAGACTCAGTATAGCGCAACTAGTCCTAATTCTGCTGGTGATACTCATCCAAGTATACATCACCCACCAGAACCGATCCCAAGAATAACGTCTTCTTGCACAAACCGCTCCATGCAGACCATTAAACCTGGGTCAAGCATAAGTTTACATGTAAAATATATATATATATATATATATATATATATATATATATATATATATATATATATATGGGAAGTTTGTGTGTTGGTGCGTGTGTGCATTTCTGTGTGTGCATAATAATAAGTTTGGAAGTAAAAACATAACTGGAAAATTACAATATGAAAAATTACAATATGAAAATTACAATATGTAAACTTATCTTAGCCGACGTGTTTTCTATCCTGATATATTTATCAAGACAAACGATATATATATATATATATATATATATATATATATATATATATATATATATATATATATATATATATACTTTGGCTAATAAGCTATCTATACTGTTGTCATCACTCTCGTTGCCTTTATTATCTGCTTCATGAATCGATGAAATATTATAATTGACTTGAAAGGAAATGATTACAATGACTTTTTCATTTTTAGTCTACACTGGGATATACTCTCCACACAAATATGTTTCCGCAAACATAGCTTATATCTCCTGCTTCTGTTTAATATCCTTCTTGGATTTTGTGATTTTGCTGACAGATCTGAAGCCATATGAGGGAAAAGCGACATTTTTTATTCAATTTTTTAATGTCGGTTTCATCAAAGAGCATAAGGAAATTTTTCTCACTTTCTTTCGAGTTCATTTTGATATTCAATACTATAATTGTTTTTAAAAGTTCTATGGCGAAATGTTTACCACTTTTATTTCATATTTTTCGGAATCAGTTCTTTATTCCTTTCTTGCATTCAACACAAATTTCCCCTTTCATTAACAAATTTAGATAAAGAATACTATGATAAAATAATGCACTTGTTGACTTCAAACATCTAATAAAAATGTTTGAAGAATATTTATCATGCATCATATTAAATTAAAAATTGGTAAAATCAAATGGAATAATCTTTGTGTCAATTGCAGATTATATTTGTTTTTAACAATGAAATTCAATCTGTAATCCACACAATAAAATGAAACGTTTAATTATTACGACTTAATGTAGTTCACTTACATCTGTTTTAACTTTTATTAGATGATGTTAATACTCTAAAATTAATATTAAATTCAATTAATTATTACTTTTAAGTCTAAATTCGTATATTGATCAAATGAGGTAAATAGTAACATTTTCCCAAATTTGTATTCAACAAGTAAATGTTAAAAATCTTTGAGATCAATATTTGTGAGTGATATTTGCATTCGAGGCGAGGTTTTCCATATTCCTTTCAGTAATCCTTCCTATTTTCATCTGTTTGATTCGTTGATTTTCAAAGTTAATAGCTGAAATTCGATAAACTGGAAATAATTGCTGACCAGTATTCAGATCTTTGATGTGAGACATGTCTTGTACTGCACATTTAATGGATCGGTTTGAGTTGTTGGTCGTAATAAAATAGATCGCGTTTGGCGTACTGGAATTTATTGATAGACATTGATTAGTATTTTAGCGACTGGTCGACTCGATCTATCTCGTATTGATTATTTTCTTGGCTTATCGGGGAATTCCTAATTCTCACGGACATATTTCGGCTAGAACAAAGTCATTTGTAAATGAAAAGTTTAATAGTGCCTTTTTATAGCATAATAGTCAAGAATATTTGTTTAGTAGACCATTACTACTGATTTCAGCAATCGCACGGTCCCCAAACATTAGGCTTTGTGCCAGACGAAGTCTAGTTTGGATTATGACTCCGTCAGGCTAAAACGCAGATTCTCCGTTGATTTCGGAAAATTGATAGTATTTAGATGAGAAACCAGTATTTAGATGAGAAACCATCTTAGGTTGGCCACATGTTATAAACAGACTCTAGCCTTGCACCAGAGAAATAAAGAATAGTTTATAAAGATTTTGTAATAAAACTGCATAAAATACTTATTTCACGATAATCCTACATAATCAGAATATAATTTCGGAAAATATAACCCTAGTTATTAAATATTTTGTTAAAAAATTTGTAAAGTATCTGTCTATATTTCTGAGAGGAGGTATTATGTACACTATTTACATTATTGGGAATACTGCCCACATCTTTGTTGCCATATTTATTACACACTATTTACATTATTCGAACTATTGTCCTCATCTTTGTTGCCATGATTATCACACACTATTTACATTATTCGGACTATTGTCCTCATCTTTGTTGCCATATTTATCACACACTATTTACATTATTCGGACTATTGTCCACATCTTTGTTGCCATATTTATCACTTCATCCTGAGAAATATAGACAGATACTGAAGGATGTGATACATATGGCAAAAACGATGAGGACAATAGTCCGAATAATGTAAATAGTGTAAATTTGGAGGGATTAGTGTTCTCAAATGCTAAGTAATATCAATCCTTCTATATGGCAACGAATGCTGGACAATTAGCTAACAGATGAAAATGAGAATTGAGACAACCGAAATGTGATTCTACAGAAGGATGATGAGAATAACATGGACGAAACATGGGAGCATCGGAAAGGTTTTAAGAAAAAAAAATGTTCAAAAATGACATTTATTTAGAATCAAAGAAACTGTTGAAATATCTAAGTCACAGAAAGGGGTCTGGGCTAAACATCGAGTGACTTACTTAAGGAGCTTTTGTGAATATAAGGTATAGGAAAGAGACAAACATTGCTTTGAGCTACAAAGGATAGGAAGATGTGGAGAGCTATAATCGTCCAACCCCTAACGGAACAAAAACAAAAAAAAACAAAACAAAACAAAAAAAATAAAAAAACATATATCCAAATTTTGTCATTATTGTGACTATTTTTTTCTTTTTATCGTATATTTTTGCATTACATCTAAAGGAAACATTGTGTTTTCTTAGGGGAAATATTATCTTTAGTTTTTACTATAATTAATCACCAAAATTGAATCAGAAGTTTCAGAGTCACCCAAAATAGAATGAAACAGATCAAATACAACATAAAAAAACACTTGCAATTAGATAAACTACATTTTGATTAAGAAAACAGATTGGCTGATTATGAATAATCTATATTTGAAATGAGTCGTTGAAAGATAAAACTCAATAAGACACACTATGGAAGTTAACATGTAATAAGCTTAGAATAATCACAGTAGTGTGGCACACAGTGAGTATCGAACTCACTCAAATCCTGCCTTAGATGATGAGAAGCCCTTGACTATAACACATGCGATGCCCTCTAAATCCCCCATTCTTACGTGTAGAGGAAAATGGAAGAGTGTTAAATTAAACAATTTGGGTAAAGCTGAGGATGATAACGTGTGTTTAAAATTACTGAAGGTTTATTTAGTTTACCATGCGTTATGACAGCAGAAGTAAGAAAGGCCTATGACAATGTCAAAAATATTATACATCTTGGCAAGAAAACCACTAGAATTTACGGCCCTAGGCTTCAGTCTGCTAAGCCTGTAGGTAAATCGCCACACTACAAAATGGCCAGCTTCATCACCGTCGGGCTGTGAAGCTAATATTTAGAATTCTACTTTGAAATAAATTCGAAATAATATTACTGATGTGAGTAAATAGAGGTCTTACAAAAAGATGCTCCAATTAGCCTTTCATTGTTAAGATTAATGCAAATAAACCAGCCAACAGCTCCATGTTGCAATTGACATTTTCATTATTAGATGTCAGATGCTCCTGGCAACTGCTCTGTGTCTCACAGACGTCAGATGCCCCTGGCAACTGCTCTGTGTCCCACAGATGTCAGTTGCCCCTGGCAACTGCTCTGTGTCTCACTGACGTCAGATGCTCCTGGCAATTGCTCTCTGTCCCACAGATGTCAGTTGCCCCTGGCAACTGCTCTGTGTCTCACAGACGTCAGATGCCCCTGGCAAATACTCTGTGTCCCACAGATGTCAGGTGCCCCTGGCAACTGCTCTGTGTCTCACAGACGTCAGATGCTCCTGGCAATTGCTCTGTCCCACAGATGTCAGATGCCCCTTGCAAATGCTCTGTGTCCTACAGATGTCAGATGCTCCTGGCAACTGCTCTGTATCCCACAGTGGATGTTCCCGTACCAGTTATCGTCACTGAAAATTGGATTATAGCGTAGGAAATGTTATAGCAAGAGATATATTCTGGCATAGGGGCTATACTCTGGCCTATCGCATTTTGTACCTGGGTATAAACTGGCCTAGGTGTGTGTGTGTGTGTGTGCGTGTTACATAGCTTTATTAATGCATCTTTTGCTTAACTTATAAGTATTACAGATGATGGGACAAAAAAAGCAAAGTATAAAAGAAGCTTGACAGAAGAATTTACCTACCCAAAAATACTGAATCCTCTCAATAAAAAAGTGAACGAATTATTACTTATAAACTTCTGTATTTATACTTTGACTGTTTTCACATTCTAATACGACGCAGGGTTGGGTCACGTGGAGTATAAATGGAGCACTCTCAGGGCCCCGACAATATATAATATACAAAAATATCTTTTTCAACATCTTACTAACTATAACGAAAATGGTTACCCTCTTCTTAGATAGACTAATTATCCTATGACTAATTGGACACAGGAAAATATAAACATCTATTTTTTGGATGCATCGCCCAGCGCAGGATTCAAACCTTGCAGAATTTTCATAACTGCTACTCCATAATGGTAAGCATTTTCGCGAAAAAGTGCTTCATAAAAAGTATAGTCTTTGTTTCTCTAGAATTTTGATAGTAAGTCTACTTTAAAAAAAAACACGAATGGTTGGCAACACGACACTTATGAATATGTCGATGAGCATCCATAGAAATAATATCACCAAATAATAATTTTAATTTCTTGGACCGAAGGCTATATATAATTGGTACAATTATAATTATGTACTACAATTAATAATGATAACACGTAAAGTTGAATAATATAGGTGTAGAATTATTTAAAATGTGATAAAATTAACTGGGGCGTTTATGGAAAGTGTAATCTTAACATTGTTAAGCAAAAATGTCTACACATTCATTCTAACTTAAAATAATCCTAGATATTATTCACCCTCTTGTCATTACTGGTTAATGATCTGGAAATGTCTTCACAAGTATAATTATAGTTTACATATTTATATAATGCTAAAACTATAAATATATATATGTTCCTGAGATCCAAATTAAACAATACATACTATTCTAAATAGTGTAAGAGTATATTGTACCTTTACATCTGCCGAGGGCAGTGCCAAATCTCTCTATACTTATACAAGGGTTACTTGAGTTAAGGCTGATTTTCTGTTTTTACGTTTTTAATAGGATATCCAGTATTTGCTTTCGTTACACAATCTTATGTAAATCTGCTTATATAAACAAACTCCTGCATATTATATTCCAACTATTATGTGTATTAAAGATAATAGACATTCATAATATATTATAACAAAATTATTAAATAAATTTAAACATATATTTATACAACTCACTACAATATATTAGAACTTTTTTTATAAACAGCTTCTTGAAAGATGAAGAGCCTAATGTCTCATATGACTTGATGGTACATAAATAAATAGATGCACGCTGATTTGCTGCTGTTACGAATCTTGTAATAAATGCGAGAAAGAAAGAAATATGTGTATTAAAAATATATTTAGTATTTTAGGAAAGACTATACATGTTTTAAGCTTTTACTCCAGATTTTCATGCAATGTTTCAACGTTGAAACCCAGTGAAAAAATGAAGCATCTTTTAGTGTCTCGAAAATACAAAATAAAATATATAATATTGTTACCTCATCATTTTGTATCCTGAACTGCTTTTAAAAGAAACTCAATAGGTTTATCAGTGTTCTAGCATGATTCTAATTCCTGCCCAGTTTATTCTCTGCAGAGTATACAATTCCTCCCTTTAGAATACAACTATATACCATGGGAGACAATTTCTCTCTTTTGAGAATTACTATTATATTTAGAATATTATGAACATTTCCACAGAGAGAGAGAGAGAGAGAGAGAGAGAGAGAGAGAGAGAGAGAGTGTGTGTGTGTGTGTGTGTGTGTGTGTGTGTGAGAGAGAGAGAGAGAGAGGAAATAAAAAAGCATAATGTGTGCATTGTGTGCAGACTGTAGCTGGATTCGTAGAGTAAAATATCTTAGTCGAATAGATCAGGCGGAACCTATCTAGCTCTTGTACGAACCACAGCTGATGCCCCAATCTAAGACTTGAAGGCTCGCTTTGACCAAAATATGCTATGCATAAATGAATACATCTACGGCTAAATATGTGGAGGGAACTGGTCAGGTGCTCAAATGCGCAGCATCCCTACGACCACAACCGATCATAGAGATGATGATGTTGATGATGATGATACATCTGTATCCAATATGCGTACGCACTTTTAAGTATAATTTATTAAATTTGTCCACCGTCTTTTTCACCATTCATCCAGTTCCCGTCTTAGCGGAAGTAATTTTTTTCACTAACAATCTAAAGATTTCTGGTTGTACTACACAATTGATTAAACACAAGGGTGTTTATTTTTTATCTGTGTTTTGTTTTAATGACTTTCGTCACACAGTCTTTATATTTTAGTGATAGATTTCAGATAAGTTATAATTAGTGCTAGCTTTATCATATGAAAGAGTTGAAGAATTTTTCAGGATCTTGCTCGACAGTGTGAATTAAGAAAACAAGGAAAATAATCTAAAACACTGCTAAAGCAAATAAACTGTTCCATACACATCTTGATAGGCTTTACAGTCATGTCTAGCTGAAAGCAAGTTACCGCCATATTATCAAAGTTAAACAGTAATAAGCTGCTGAGTAATTAGATGGTATGGGGATCACTTGGGAACAGCAGGTACTCTTAGCACCGTGAGACCTTTGTGCTAGACTAAACAAAGAATACTTAATATCAACTGTTTTGACGGATGAATTTCACATAGTTAATAGTCTTACAGCATGAAAAACCACAGCTTCGATGCAATGGAAAAATGTAAGAAAAAGATATATTTTTTTTTTTAAATCTTCAAACATTTCGAGCACAAGAACAAAAAACATTCAAGAAAACCGATAGAGAAAATAATTCGACGAACACTAATACAATGATAGCGGCATTCTATTAAAATTCATATCTGGAAGTAGGATTCAATGCATTATGCGTCAAATCCAAATAGTGACATTTATGTGTGCTTGAACTGCAAATGAGTTGTTTGCCATGTCAGTGATTTGGTTGCCTGACTACTGTGTTGGTGGCCTTGTGAGTGAGTTGGTTGCGTCGTGAGTGAGTACAGTGCCTCGTGGTTGTCCCATCGATGAGTTGCTTGCCTGATTACTGTGTTGGTTGCCTCGTGAGTGAGTACATTGCCTCGTGGTTGCCCCAAGACTGACGTGGTTGTCTTCTGAATGGGTTGGTTGCCTCGTGAGTAATTTGGTTGGGTCGTGAGTGAGTACGTTGCCTCGTGGTTGCCCCATGAGTGAGTTGGTTGCCTATTTACTGTGTTGATTACCTCGTGAGTGAGTTGGTTGCATCGTGAGTGAGTACATTGCCTCGTGGTTGCCCCATGAGTGAGTTCCTTGCCTGATTACTGTGTTGCTTGTCTCGTGAGTGAGTACATTGCCTCGTGGTTGCCCATTAACTGTGTTGGTTGCCTGATTATTGTGTTGGTAACGACGTGAATGAGATGGTTACGTCGTGAGTGAGTACATTGCCTCGCTGTTGCCCCACGGGTAACGTGGTTGTTTCTGAATTGGTTTGTTGCCTCGTGTGTAAGTTGGTTGCGTTGTGAGTGAGTGCATTGCCTCATGCTTTTCCTATGAGTGAGTTGCTTGGCTGATTACTGTGTTGGCTGCCTCGTGGGTGACTACATTGCCTTGTGGCTGCCCCATGAGTGACGTGGTTGTCTTCTGAATGAGTTGGTTGCCTCGTGAGTAAGTTGGTTGCGTCGTGAGTGAGTAGATTGCCTCGTGGTTGACGCATGTGTTGGTTGAATGATTACTGTGTTGGTTACCTCGTGAGTGAGTTGGTTGCTTCGTCAGTGTGTTCCTTGCTTCGTGGTTGCCCCAAGAATGAGGAGGTTTCCTTCTGAATGAGTTGGTTGCCCCACGAGTGTGTTGGTTGCCTGATTACTGTGCTGGTTGCCTCGTGAGTGAGTTGGTTGCGTCGTGTTAATTCATTTTGTGGTTGCCCCAAGAGTGAGGTGGTAGCCTTCTGGATGAGTTGCTTGCATCCTGAGTGAGTTGGTTGCCTGATTACTGTGTTGATTGCCTCGTGAGTGAGTTGGTTGTGTTGTGAGAGAGTTCATTGCCTCGTGGTTTCACCGAAATTTAGGTGGTTGCCTTCTGAATGTGTTGGTTGCCTCGAGAGTGAGTTGGTTGCATTCTGAGTTAGTTGCGCTTGAGCTGTAGTAACTCGCTCTTTAGTATCCAGAAGAACGCTCTAAAACAAAGATGGAAAAACGGGAAAGAATATAACAGAATTGGGATCAGCAAGGTTAACATAAATCAATAACAGTTATATTCTCTTAATATACATTATTTAAAACTGAGCATTAAATTCTTATATGTTATCCCTTATGGATCTATTGTTATATGTTATCTATTATGGCTTTATTGGAATCTTAGTCCGAAGAATCCGAAAGTAATTTCCGTGTTCACCTTTAAAATGTTTTGAAATTTAATTATAAGAAATCGTTAATATCATTAAAAGTATTCTACAAAATTAAATTTAATTATAATAAAGAATATACAATATTTATTAACAGTACGTTCACATTTTATTTCTGTCTTTTTTTCATTGTGCATATGCACTTGAAAAGATATAAAACCATCTCTCCTTACCGCATTCAGCTCAAGGTCAAGAGTAGGGTAGACTGGGTTCTTTAGCATTGATTGACAAACAGTATAATAGTAGTTTAACTTTGAATTCCACTCTTTAAATTAATTTTCTGCACAATTCACAAAAACTACGTGGTGGTTTTGGAGCTTTGTATTCTAATAGAAGATTTTGTGAATCTTTTTGTGAAGATTGTCAGTGGTTCTTAATATTTTTAATGGTAATACTCAAATCTTCTCTAAAACCATTCATAAATACGACTTATTTAAGGAATAAATATATAAAAAAATAATATTGGTTACTATAAAATAAAAATGCAAGTTAAATTAATTTCTTAATGGTTAATAAAGAAAAATAAAACAAAGTATTTATGAAAACAAAGTAAAACGTTTTATAGCTAAATTAAAACGAATGAAAAACAGTCATATCACAGGAAGTTTTATTCAGAGGTTCGTTAAATCGGATATTTGCTGTATCTACATAGAAATCGCTATTGAGTTTTAATTTGTGAAGAATATGTAACCATTTGAAAGCAAATAAAAATCATAATTCACAATATTAAATTCTAAGGCAGAAATCAAACAGAATAACTTTGAATTAAGAATTAAACTAAGATCTATTTTAATATGTGAATAAAGATGGTTAATAAACTTATATATAAAGCACGAAATCTGTATGTTTGTCCGCTAAGAACATTGAAAATAAGTTAAATGCACATAAAGTTGGTTGTCTATCAGTGTATATGTCTGTGCGTGTGTGCATGTATATATTACGTATAAGTATTATGTCGAATAAATCTGGATTATAGTTTATTGCATGGGTCTTATATCAATTCCAGATTAGCTTTTCTAGCTTAAATAAGATAAATAATTGGATTATTCTGCTTTAAAAAAGATATTCTAAAAATAACTTATTATTTATTTTCAATGTCTTTGTGATCATTATAAATGAGCTATCGTTTTGTTTTTAGATGTTTAAATTAATTTGAGTTAAGAAAAAGGAAAGTATTTTATCGCTAACACATTCAACGCTTCATTGTTATAGCATTGTTGCCTGGCTGTACAGGGCCATCTTGGGAAAACTGTAATTTTATTGTAAATAAATATTATAACGATATTGACAGTAATTTCTAATGAACCCTGCCACACTGGTTTTAATCAGACGCTCTGCAATACAGAGTAAGCAAAACTATATGCGATTATTTAATTTTCAATACATTTGTCTTCACACTGCATAAAAATACACCGTGTCGGCATTTTAAAACTTTTATCAGAAATGTCTTTTCGCTGACAGATATTCTCTAGACACAACATAACATCGCTGGAAAGCATATAATACCCACAGCGCTGTAATATGAAGCCAAATCACGAATTTAAATGTGGGGAACCTTACGTAAATTAACGCCACTTGCTTCTGAACGTGTTAATGTAAGCTTTGTCAAATTATACGTGACTTGTTAACTATAAACAACAGAGTCACTGACAAGTCAAATGAGGAGGAGCTATATTGGAAAAAAAGATCTTCGGTACAAACTTGAATTTGACTTTGTGACTATCACATGCGAGTGAACACCAAACTATTATCAGAAATTTGTGTCTTTATTAATTTTATAAAATCAGGTGAAATTGTATAATTGTCTATATTACTATACAGTATGTTTACTGAAAAAGCAAATGTTGATTTATAAGTTCAACACGATGAAACAAGTTTTAGAACATATAGAAAAATGAAACTCGTTTCAAAAGTTTAAAAACAATATTTTCAAAATTACAATTTTGGACATAATGAGCATTTTTCGAAAGTTCTAAGTCTTCTTAATTTCAATTGTATTTTTATCCCACTTCGTACATCAATTTTAATTTCAGAATTGGTTGAAGAAAATTGTCATTTCTTAACTTTTTCTATTTCGGTATGAACCAGAAGTCTTATGCTGATCTACAGAAGCCGCGTAAATAAAAAAAGAAAAAAAAAAGAAAAAATCTACTAGCCTCTTATCTTTTGTACAGTTCCTTAATTGCAATGATGCCTGATAATATGGCGACGAAAGAAAAATCTCTTATTTTCTGCTGGTGCATTGTTTAATTATTCGCAAGATTTCTTTGCTTTAAAACCTCTGTAATCTTATAATTGGTCGCTACTTTATATGTAACACGGACGTAAAACTTCATAAATATCCAAAACCTCTTATTCAATGAAACGAAATGATACTGGGAAAGTTGGCATAGGGCTTTGTATTCTACCAAATACATGTTGAAACGTTCTCCAACTAAATTATAAGAGGTATAATCGGCCATACACAAGAGAGACAGAATATATTCTAAAAATAATAGTAAGGTCTAAAATTAATAAGTTGTTAATTTAATGCATTTCAGATCGTTACGTTATACGATTCATCAAAAGTGAAAATTAATTTGGTTTTCGAGGGTGGGACTTCCATAATCGTTAGCATTTCTTTGATGTTACTAAATCTAAAATATCTACAATTTTTAAATTAAATATGTGTACATTTTTAAAAGAAACTTCTTTTTTTTAACTCGCAAAAACTTCGTTTTCCGTTCATTCAGAACAAATTAAGTTTTTAATATCATCGTCCAAGCATCCAAGGACTGGCGCCAAATTATTTAACGGCCAAAGCCAGCACTACTATTTGTACCATTTTCTGGCTGGGCAATGAGTTTTGATAATTACACTAGAGTATTGAAATGAATAAAATATTGCAATCATAAAAAAACAACTCCTATTTAAAAGGATTTTACATTGCTTAGAGATTTTAGCGCCCTAGGCGATCGTCAAGTTTGACATTTGCGTCACGTCTGTCTTGCTGAAAATGATATTACATCAGTGAAAATGATTAAACGTAACTGACCCACTGAGAATGACATAACATGTGGGGAAACGGGGAAATTTTAAGGAAAATAGGAACTGCAAGGAAACTGATATTTACAGGCAAAATAAAATGAAACATCTGAAATTACTGAGAGAGACTAGAAGGAAAATGGCCCTGAGAAGAATTTGGCCTTTACTGAAGGTAAACCGAAGCAAACTGACAAAACAAGTACACTACTTAAGGTGGTTGCGTGAATAGATGTTCGAATAAGGACAAAGATAATAAAGAAGCAAAAGTCACTTAAATCAGCAAATTACAGGAAGTTCTGGAGAGTCAAGAACCCCTATTTCTTGACTGGATATGGCGCAGAAAATTATATAATTCTACTTATTCCGCTTAACATAATCTTCATAGTTGGAAAAAAAAAAGATTTGAAAAATATTTAATACAAATGACGGAATTATTGTGAAATATAGGCGTTGTGAAATATTGTGAAATGTAGACACTGTGAAATATTTTGAAATGTAGGCATTGTGGAATATTGCGAAATGTAGGTATTATGAAATGTAGGCATTGTGAAATATTGTGGAATGTAGGCATTGTGAAATATTGCGAAATGCAGGTAATGTGAAATGTAGGCATTGTGATATAATGTGAAATGTAGGCATTGTGATATAATGTGAAATGTAGGCATTGTGAAATATTGCGAAATATTATTGTGAATTGTAAACAGCTAATCGGATTTGTGCCTCAAATAGTTGAATGATAACATAAGACTGCTTTGTTAAATTAAAAATAAATCTTCGATGTGCAAAATATTCATGAAACAAAAAACAAAAAAAAATAGTTTCCAATGATATACTAAATCTCCAGTTAAAAAAAAATGAATACTGCAAAAGTGAACACAATGGGCTTTAATAATTCTTCTTTCCAGATATCACCCGTTTAATTTTTCTTAAATGATTTTCTTTACATATATATATATATTTCGATTATAGGTGCAGTTCAGTTTATAATTACATGAATCATTCATGCAAAAAACAAATATAGAGGTTAATGATTTAAATGGCGAGAATACACCTACGCAAACAATTTCAATAAGGTACACTAACCCCGAACCTGAATATGAATGATATAATCCCTAACCCAGACGAAAGCTTGTAAAAACTAAAAAAGACCTTATGCAACTGGAATTTAGAAACAGGGATGATATATATATATATATATATATATATATATATATATATATATATATATATATAAATTAATATTTTTATTTATTAATCTAACAAAATGAACAAATTAAATATTATGAAAC